TAAAATAAAGTAAGGCGTGCACGGTGGACAGTATTATTTGGCACAGGTTTGAGTTTGTTGATAGCATTTTGTTCTTTCTACCCAAGTCACAAGCCTATAGACACACTTGGTTCCTCCAGCTCTGACAAAATGAGGCTTCTCGGCCTCTTTTTAAAGAGGGGAGGGACCATTTTCCCCTCCTCTCCTGTAAGGCTCTGTGGTTGAAAGGGAGAAGCCCAGGAGGGGGCCCGCAGGGACGCAGCTGTACTTTGGTCTGTTTGCCTTACGGAGGAGGACGCCCACGTTAAAGCAGTCCCCTTCCTCCCGCAGGCCGTGGGGGACCAGCCAGGTTCACGGCCGGGGCAGGGGCAGCGGGCTGCCGTCGCCTGTGCGGGGAACCGCCTTTCCTTCTTGTGGGAGCGACACCGCCAGATCTGCCCCCACAAAAGAACTCGTGAGCATCAGCTGCGGAGCCAGAGATGCCATTTTAGCCTTGCAAGTGCCCTTCGAAGTCCTGAGCTGGGCAGCCTCCCCTGAGCAGGCGTTGCAACTCCGACTGCAGTCGGAAAAGGACTGGGCCTCTAGTACGGCCTTACTTGCTTGACTTGTATTCTTAAATGAGGAAAGTTGATGCTCTCACAGCTGTTCTCTCTGCCCCTTGTTATGGATGTATGCATTCTGCATAGCTGCAGGACACGTTTCTATCTCAGTGTCTTTTCTTTGTAGCTGAATTATGGTTGTTGTGGGAACCTTTGCATTTAAATTCTTACCACTAGTGTTGCATTATTACAGTTAGTTGCATTTAATTTGTTTATCCATAAAACTTGTTTGTTTTTTTACTTTAAGGGAGTAACAGAAATGCTTGTGCATTTAAGAGATATATTTAATTATATCACCTTTAAAACCAGACTGTCCTAATGCTTCAAAATGAGGTGTGTCTCACCCAGGGGTATTTTTTTTTTTATATTCCAGTTTGGGATTTGCAACTGAAATTAACCTTTTCTGATTTAAACTTGCTAGAGGTCTAGGGCAGATGAGAATTAGGATTAACAGTTGGTGCAAACTACATCAAAACACAGAGGGTAATCTAAGGGCAGATCCTCAGATGAAGGACACTATCTTAGTTTTCACGTAGTCCTCAGAAGTGTAACAGCTTGTATTAGCCTCAGTTCTGCAAGTTTAAAAATAAAAATGGATTGCAATACACAGTGCAGAGAGCACACGTTAGAATATTGTAAAATTGCCATTTTAACTTAAAAGTGACTTTGACAGATTAGAGGTTTTCTGCTAGTGCCGACAAATTAAGGTCAAGCGTTTTGTTACGGTAAACAATGACAAGAAAAATGGCAATTTCTTTTCCTCAGACCTGTAAAAGAGCATTGTAGAGAGAGACGCAGAAGGGTGCAAGGGCAAGCTAGATGTCCAGCTCCTTTCTGTGCCTTTGGCAATCTCCCCTGATACTAATGTTGAGTTTTTTGTTTTCTTAAAGATTCACAATCTTAATTAATGTAAATTGCCACATCCTGTGGGAAGAAACAGCTAAGCTTTGCATTTCTCTTTTTTTTAGCCATCTTATTTTGGTACTTATAACTATTATTGGGGCTTATGCTTTAGTGACATTTAGGATGTGACAAGGAGATTTGAGTCATGTCAAATAGCAGATTGACCCTAATGAAATGTTAAGCACAGCTTAAATGCGTATGTAGAGAGGGTTGAATAAAACAAGAGATGCAAATGATTTGGTAAAAAACCCTTCAGAATAAAAGCAGTTGTATTCATTTGGTTTGCCTCAAAATAGTCTGATAAACATGATTTTTACTTTCCCCACTGCATTACAATTTTTAATGAGACGTTGTTAAACATCCCTCTGTTTCTCAAATATTCAATTTGAATTGCTTACAAAATAATTTAATTTACCTTTAGTCATCATACCTAAATGTTCAGTTACAGAGAAATAAGAATAAAAATCCTAAATTTCACTTGTATCACAAATAACGATTTTTTTTAAAAATCATGACAGTTTCAACCTTTACTTTTATCTTTCTTTAAGTTTACATCTGAATTGGAGCTCTACAAAACCTGCTTCCAAAGTACTGCAAACGAATGTCAAAGGGAAAGAAAACAGCTTTTCTCAATTTAACGTTTCAACCCAGTGCAGGAGCCTTGACACCAGTGAGTACTCACCGAGGCTGCGATACAAGCAGTTAGCATAATTTTGCTAGAATTACGCTGTATTTACAGACTTCGACACTGGTGGGTGCTAACATTTTATTCCCCTGCGCAAGGAGTGCATCAAGTCAGTTCTAACAGCGCTGTTGGGGCTGCGCAACCTCCGCTTCGGCTCGAGCAAACTCAGGCTTCGGTTTTGTTCCCTTTGGTTTTTAAGCAAAGAGAGAAAAATAGAAGCAAAAACAGTTTTTTACCTTGCGTGCTCTCTGTTGTGGGGCTTGTGTTCAGCTGCGTCTCAGTCGCAGAACACCTGCCGTTTTCTTCTGCTGTTAATTGTGTGACAGGTTCATATCGCAATATGGCATCCAGATCATGGAAAAACTTCATGGTTTTAGTGACATCCCCAGAGTTGTGGGCATATTTAACCGTTCTGTATTCATACTTCAGATTTTTATACTTTGCACGGCACTGTTTCCAATCCCTGCAAACTCCTAACTCCTGCAACCTTTTAGCAATGTAGATAAATATTCCTTTATTCCTCAGGGTGCCGTGGAGTTGCTTTCTGATATTTTTTTCTGACCAGACGCTTAACAAGGCTTTAACCTCCTCCTCAGTCCAATGCTTCCCTGCTCCACTCTCCATGTTGAAAGTGACCTGGAAATGATTCACTATTTCTAGCCAAGATTTTGTTTCCTAGGAAACCAGACGGCTGGTTGTCAGTAAGCTCCGCCGAGATGAAAGGATCTAGTTTTACTGGCTCAAGCTGCCTGAGGGGAGTAACTTGAGAAACTGCCAAATAAGCAGGCTCGGTGTTAGAGGCAGGCGAATAAAGCAGCTCGGGCGGGAGCGCTGCCCGGGGCGGGGGGGCGGC